ACAGTACAGCCTGTTGCCAGAGACGAAGAGCCTCTGGCCCGGCTCCGACAGTGTCACGGTGGTGTTTCCGGTGGAGTAGGCTTTCAGCACGGCGGCGGTGTTGCAGCTGTCGAAGTTCTCTCTCGTCACTTCGTTTAAGCTCTCCGATGATGAGTATTGGAAGACTGCAAGACAAATTACATTTCGCCAATAATTATTTCAAAATCTCTCTCGTCTCACCATTTTTATGTTGTTTTTCTACTCAAATTCTTAAATTTTAAGAAACTTTTTCAATCATGTCTTGTCAATCTGGTTAGTTAAATATTAACATCACCGTAGCTAATTGGTCCAATGAGGCAGGCTAAGTAGCTGTGTAAGATGTAAAATTAGTTGAGGTGTGCACAAACTAACTGGGACACTCATGTATATTAAAAAAAATGTTGCCCTGACATGTTGATTGAACTAACAAATGATAATTTGGTAGTTAGCACCGACTAACTATACAAACTAAGAAAGAATGTGGAGTGAAAAACATTGAATGAACTCCTATATGCTCGAAACTTCTCTTTACCGCATTTCTTCCTCTTCTGCAAGAGTCATGTTCAGTGTTCCTTCACCTCACACTTCAATAGTAACTAGATTGGATAGGATTAGGTGGAGTACGTTTTAAATCTTTTCTTTTTTCTCTCATCTATCTTTATTCTATATATCTAATTAATCTATTTACTTGAGTCGTATCATATCAAATCATTATTCACTCACCACTTAACATTTATTAATTATGTTTGTGAAAATAAAAATTAAACGTATAGGGGATAAAGAGACAAATTATTTAAGCTTATGAACTGAAATTTAAATTTAACCTTAAATACTTAACTTAGTTAATTATGTGGAGCCTTTTCAATTGATTTTTCAATCCAAGTCTTCACTCTCACAAAATCTTAAATTTATTGATAAAACTAGGATGCAACATCAAATTATATACTTATAATTGAGAATATAGTCTATGTTTAATTTGATCCTAATACATAGATATAACATTGGCCCATAATAACTTATTATTCGACTCTACTAACAACCTATCAAAATGAACCCTCTTAAATTTCACATAACACACCATTCTTCAAACATTTAGTAGTCATAAAAACTCGATGAAGAAGAAAGAGAATTACGTACCAAGAAGATCTCCCACAAAAAATCTCTTGCCCTGAGACCAAGTATCAAGATCAGTGCTGATATCCCAACCAGAAGAATCTCCCACAATGTATGTTGTGGCAGTGCATGATCTTAATGCAAAACCTGCAATTATCATAAAAAACACATGAAGCCACACCTTCTTATTTGGCATTGCCATAATTTACAGTCAATATAATCACCGCTCCCTTTGATCTCCTCTTTATACCTGCTATATCACACTTTGATTTGGCTCTTAATTAGATTACCTAACTCCTCCAACTTCCAATTCCCTTATACATTTTTGTTGGAAGGTGAAGAATCTGAATATGGTGGTAGAAAGGCAGTTAAACCTCTTTTTCCAACCCCAACCAATTGTCTCTTTCTTTGACTTTGATTACTAAACATCAATTATTTGTTTGATTTTGAAGTTTGTGGGTGTGGTAATTAATTGGTAAAGATATATTTTTTGGGGCTAAATTTTGGATAATTCTCGAAAAAATAGTGAAACTATAACTATAAGCATAAGCACTATTGAAAGAAACACTAATTAAGTATTCGATCTTGTAATTTTCTTTTAGAATATGAAAATTTTGTAAAGTGTTAGCATAAAAACACTTTTTCACCTTTCTAAAAATCATTGATTACTTCGACTGGAAAAAAAACACTTTGACGTAAAAACACTTCTTCTATAAGCTCTAGAAGAAACACTATTTTTTTTTTATGAGAGAGCCTATATAAAGTTGCGTAAAAAACCAGACTCCTCGTATATGTAAATATTGTCAAATTAATGAGGTCCTTGGAAAGTTAACCAACGTTTATAAATAATGATGTTTTAAGAGTGTGTTTGGTTGTTGATTTGACAAATAAAATTCAATGAAAACAGGTGTTAATTACTACTAAACTAAGTTGACGTTGGCTACAATATTATGTAATTTAAAATATATTATGTTTTACATGATTTAATTTTAACAAAGATAAAATGGGTTTATAACATGAAGTATTTATCAATGTATTTATCTCTTTTTAGTGTAATTTTTCAATTCAAAATCTAAAAACATAAAAAATGTTGTTTTAAAAATAAATTTGCCAAACACATATTGTCCCGTTTACTTATAAGGAATTATAATAAAAATCAATTGAAATGATAATGTTGTTCCTATTGTTTACTATATGATTTTTTAAATTGAAATTGAATTAGATATATAACAATTACTATAATACTCCTTCCTTATTTATAGCTAATTATAAATACATTATTCTACTAATATTTTTTAATTAAAATAATAATAAAATTTGATTTATTTTATTAATGTTGATAGTAAGTATTTTTTATTATAACAATTTATTTAATATAAAAAATATTTAAAATAAAATTACGACAACTAAAATAAATTTTTATTAGAACTATCATCATTTAATATAAAATATTATTAAATTTTATTGTTCTATATTTAATAATAATTAATTCTATTTAAAAAAATTGATGATATTACTTAAAAATAATGATTTAAAATTAAATAGAAATTTGTAATATTTTATAATAAAATCACATTAACTAATAAAAGTTGTATAAATTTTTATTAGAAAAAAATATTAATAGTATAAATAAAAAAGAAAAAATAAAAATGTAAAGCAATTAATTAAAAGATTATCGATCTCCTTAGAAGAAAGAGTAAAAATTGTAAAGTAATTATTATAAATGTGTAGGATCAAGTAAATGTTGTATAATAATTATTATAAATGCATAGGACCTATAAAGTAATGAGAATAAAATTGTAGAAGATTAACGAGATAACACATTTTTAGAAGAAGTGATTACAAAGTTTGAGTGGATCAAACCAATTGATTTCATTCCTAAACGTCATAAGCACGACATAAGCATTTGAAGTTAACGAATCTGAAAACAATAAATAGAATTCAAATTTCATACCCAAAATCCTAAATTTCTTTGGTATACATATATCTACTAAGTTAACTAGGTAGCCAACTTGCCCACCATATTTTGCACATTGACTATGAGTTTAACTACTAAATAAATTATGATGATTTAATGTGATTATTTTATATGCTTTAATGGTTCTAATTGGATCCACTTGCTGGGGCATATATATCACTCACGGAAATATACTGTGACTTTGAATCTATAAGCATATAAAAATATTAATAGAAATGTCAACATGTCGATAAAAATTTAATACCCTACCTATCATCAATATAAGAAATTAAATTATCAAACAGTTTGTATACATGAGACCTCAAAGAAGGATGAAAATTCAAAACGAGAAAAAGAATAAGGAAAAATAAAAGGTTTTCTTCATACGAAAAGAGAATTTTCCTGGGAAATTTTGCTTGCCAAGAAAATAAAGATGTTGCGTTAGCTATGCCCAAACTCTTTTCCTGGGAGCCAGATCTGATGTTCTTATCTCATCAAGTTTTGCAGCCACAATAAAATCATTCATACTCAATCCCCCTGCAAATTCAAAATGAAAATTACTAAACTCATTAACTTTGGTAATATTTAATGTTTTATACATAATTTTAACATTCTTCCCACTAATGTACTTGAAAATTAAAATGTGCCTCTTATATTAATGGAGGAATGCTCTGGAAAAAAGGACTAATAAATATTTAAACTTTCAACGAGTCTCTAATCTTGTGTAGTAAGTTCTTATGTTTTAAAGTTTCCAGATCTATTAAGACAAGATATGTTGTACTCAATAAGTCATTAAATTTTAAGAGTGTCTAATATGCCATTAAAATTCAATCCTGTGTTTAGTCGGCCATGGACTGTTCGATACTTTTGAAAATTCACGAACCTAAATTAGAAGAAAAAAAAATGTTTAGTATAATGGGGCAATTTGAACTCATAATCTTAGATAGGTACTAATTACGACTGCTCTAAGCTTCGGTTGCCAAAATAGTTCAGTAATCAAATTAACATAGAGTTTATGAATGAAATTAATATTGAGGCGATTCAGAGGCAGAGTGAGAGTGTTTGAGAGAAAAGAGAGTACCAATGGCGGATGTCCAGAGCTCAGCTCTAACTTGATTAGAGTGCTCCAAATGAAGATCAGGGAAATGACCACAATCCTGAACAACCTCATAGATTCTCTTAATCAGCTCCACGCCACATTCAAAATCCCTCAATTTCCATAAGCATTGAAGCTTAAGCCGCCCCGATCCATCGTTGTCCACCAATCTCCACCCCACCACCTATTCAAAACCCTAATTTCAGAAATCAAATCACAGCGCCCACCAATGGCGAAATCGAATCATACCTTCTTCAGCAGCTTCTGAGCCTCGTCGTCCGCCATGGGAGGCCCCAGAGAAGAAACGGGAGCGCACTGTTGCTGAGACAGAGCCAGGGCTGGGATGCTGGGGATCAGAATCTTGTGCTCTGTGTCGGAAAATCCCAGCACTTTCTCGCCGAATCTGCTCTCGATTTCCGCCGGAAACGGGTCTCTGGCGCCGAAGTCGCCGTCGCCTTGTATCGCCGCTCGGACGGTGGCCGGCCGGCGCCAGTGGCGGAGGACGGTGGTGCGCGGCGTAGGGGGAGAGAAGCGGCGGTGGGGGAGATGGAGGAGAGGGAGTGGGAGGTGGGTGGATGATGTTGTGGCCATGGCTGAATTCAAGGATGAGATGGCACACACCATTCCAGAAGCCCTTTTTATTTTCTTTTTTAATCTTGTGGATAGCTTTTTATTTGGATTTGGAGTATTTTTTTTTTTCATATGTTTTTGTGAAAAAGAAAAGGATTGGTGTTAAATATAAAATAATAGAAATTTGATATGATGGAAATAAATAATATCATTATTTTTCTTTTCTTGCAGATGAATTATAAAATTTTTAAGTTCAGATAAATGTTCGTCGCCTGTGTATGACGTAGTGGAATTTGTTCTTTGCTGTGAATTCCGATTGTTTTTAGTTTTTAGTTTTTTTTATCTGTTATTAAAAAATAAAAATAAGATATATTTGATAAATGTTTTTAGTTTTCTAAAAAAAAAAACTTGATAACCATATATTTTTTTCTTTTTGTTTTAAGTTCAAGGGAGAGATATGTTTGAGGAAGAAAAATGCATGTAAAGTAGAGATGATATAGTCGTGGAGAAGGGTCGAGATGCCTTCTCTCATTCTCGTCTTCAAATTTTTAATTCATGTAGCCACCGTGTTCTTCAATTATGGGAATTGAGGTCTATGTTGAAGAATCTTCATAGGAAAAATTATTAATTTTAGTAATTAAATTTAATTATGTTATAATTTAAAAAATTAAAAAGGAATAAATATAGATATATAATTAGAAAGGATGTGATGGATGACTTTGATGAGATATAAGAACGATAGATCTTGTTACTTCATAGGTGGTCTATCTAAAATCACTTAAAAAAAATAGACACACTATGAATTAGTAATTTTGTCGAAATACTCATAGAAAAAGAAGTTTTTTTTTTTTTTTTTTTGTCAAAACTATTAAAATGGGGTTAAAAATGATATTTTGGTCATTGTACTCTCAAATTTAATTCATTTTGGTCACTTAACTTTTAAAATATTCATTTTATTTCTCGTACTTTCAAAATGTTCACTTTGATCATTATACTTTTGAAAAGTGACAATTTTGATCACTATTTACAAATTTGAACGCAAATTATACACATTCACATAGTGGAAAATCCTTGAATACAAAATAGCGGTTAACACTTCAAGAAATATATCGAGTGTAACGTCGTATTGAAATTGTAATAGAAAATATGAGATTAAAAATATAATTAATGGGACAAAGTGACTATAACTCAACATTGACATATATCTCCGACCATGAGATTGTGAGTTCGATCCCCCACCACCACATGTTGTACTAAAAAAAAAAAAATTTAATGGACGAGAATAATAATTTTTAAAATTAATAGATTAAAATTAATTAAAATTGTAAGTAGAATAACCAAAAATAATATTTTGATAGTAGAAAAAAATTACATAGAAAAAACAATATTTTAACCAAATACGGGAATGAAAGGAGTATCACGAACAACACAATCATTGGCTTCGAGTGTATCCATGCTATTAAAAATAAGCTCAACGCTATGTCAAGGTGGGTGGAGTGGCTATGAAGTTCGATACGAGTAAGGCCTATGATAGAGTGGAATGACCTTATCTTAGAGGTATTATGGAAAAGATGGGTTTTGCAAGTAGATGGGTGGAGCTAATTATGAAATGTGTGAAATCTGTTTGTTTTTCAGTTTTGATAAACGGTGTGCCGGGAAGTGAATTCATGCCTAACCGAGGTCTAAGACAAGGAGACCCGCTTTCTCCTTGCCTTTTTATTATTTGTGCGGAAGGGCTCTATGCTCTTATCAAAGAGGAGGAAAAGAAAATGAACATCACATGTTTGAAAATCAACAGGCAGTGCCCATCCATTTCACATTTATTTTATGCTGATGATTGTCTGTTGTTTTTCAAAGCTTCTACAGGTAATTGCAGGAGCATCAAAGGGATCCTGGAATCTTATGAAAAAGCATCTGGTCAATGTATTAATCTAGACAAATTGATGTTCATTGTGAGCAAGAATACGAAGGCACAAATGGTGGGGATGATCATGCAGGAGCTGATGGTGAATCACTTAGAGACCTTGAGTCAGTACTTGAGACTCACATCCCAAATAGGGCGGAACAATAACTTGGTGTTTTCTAATATTAGAGACAGAGTATGAAGAGCTCTCCAAGGCTGGAAAGGGAAACTGTTTTCGATGGGAGGGAAGGAAGTTCTCATTAAAACAGTAGCTTTAGTAATTCCAACTTATACTATGAGTTGTTTTAAATTTCCATAAAAATTAACCTTTTTGCTGATATAAATTATATGTGTGCTAGGTTATGGTGGGGAACGACGAACAAGGAAAATTCGTTGGCGTAGTTGGAAAAAGTTGTGTATCCCAAAAGACCAAGGAGGTTTGGGCTTCAGAGACACAGTATCTTTAACCAAGCCATGTTAGCTAAGCAAAGTTGGAAACTGTTCAAGATTCCTCTTAGCCTGGTTGCTCGGGTACTTAAGGGTCGATATTTCCCTAATGAAAGCTTCATCAAAGCTAAGTTGGGGAACAATCCCTCTTTTGTTAGGCGTAGTATACTGTGGGGGCCATGATATTCTTAGGAAGGGCTACCGATGGAGGATTGGCTCGGGTCTTGGTGTGAATATCGCGGATGATCCTTGGCTTTCAAGAATTAGAAACTTTAAGCCTACTTACGTGCACAACTCCTTGTCTAATACAACGGTTGCTTCGCTAATAAGGGAACCAGGGGTGTGGAACGACGAGGTCATTTGGAAGATGAAGCTGATCTAATTATTAATCCCCTAAGCAAGTACAACACTACTGACGAGATCATTTGGGGCTTCGACAAAAAAGGACTTTTTAAGGTTAAAAGTGCCTACAGATTATTCTGACATAATGAGTAGGTGGTGGAAGAAGTTTTGAAAAGTTAAAGTCCCCCAAGATTTTGCTTTGCTGTTAAAGATTATCCAAGATATCATCCCAACCTTAGCAAATCTTAGCTCTAAAGGAATTAAAACCAAAAAAGGATAACCCGCTCTGTCGAGAGAAAGAAGAGACATCTGTTTTGGAATTGCAGGTTTGTTCGGATTCTTTGGGCAATTTATTTGGATTTTAATGTTGGATCGTTTAATTTTGACAGGGTAGACTAGACGACTATGGATTATTTCGACTGGATTTGGAGAGACTCTCGGATCAGCACAAAAGACAAATAGGACTAATTCTTCTATGGTGTATCTGGACGTAAAGAAATCATATTGTCCACAACACAAATGAGCAGGCTTGCCCCCATAAGTTCACGATTCTTATTGAAAAGCAAGTTAAATGATTTTACAAAGAATCTTGAAAAGAACATGATCAAGGAAGAAAAGGAAGTTCTTGTGCCCGTCAGTTGGACTCCCCCGGCGCAACGCGACTACATGGGTGGATTCGCTGCATGCTAGCGGAATCAAGTGGATAGTTCGTGACTCGGAAGGACGTTCATCATGGCACGTTGTCTTCACCTACAAAGAAAATGATCCATCTAAGCTTTCGAAGCCCTAACAATCTAAGAAGGACTCGAAGCGATGAACCAATCCCTTACCCTTGAAGCTCAAATTAAAATAGATGTGGAATCAGACTATTTGGAAGGTGTGAACATCATCAATAAATCTTTCATGGAACTCACGATTTAGCAGGAAAGCGTGCGAAGAGGACTTTTCTTCTTGGTGGAATCTGTCTTGCCCTACGTGGCTTTCTGATTTATTGGTGGTTGACTTTTTAATTT